GACTAGCAAAGGCACAGCAACACAGACCTGAGCAGTGCTACTGTAGCTGAAGTGCACGGTTATCAGGTCTCCCCCAATAAAGCACCCACATTACCAGGCAAGAAAGACTGAAGTTAGCACAGTTCAGCAGCCCAGCCTACCTCCATACCATAGGTGAATATGATATCCTTTTCATCTCCTAAAAGCAAATATTTGATTTATTACTCACGCAGACCTAAAGGTCATCTTTGTTACAAAGCTAGCTCTCATCTTCCTGCACTCCAAAATTATAGTGAGAACAGCCAGTGAAAGCAATGATCTAATATACACATTTCTCCCCATTTATACAAAGTGATTTTACACAAAATTAGGCACACACGTTCAAAAACACTTAAATTGTTAAGAGGATTTTTAAAATGTTCTTTGTGCATACTTCACACTGTCTAAGCATGATGTCCTGTTCAAGGAGCTGAATCCTTTTTTTTTTTCCATGCGCCCTTATTGCACAACCCCACACAACCCCAACACTATGCCAAATATCTAGAGTTACAGCATTCTTTTTGCTAGGACTCACATAATTCCTTATCCATTGACCTTTTCAAGTACATACTTTCAGAGAAAAAAAAAGGAGGACAAAATATTGAAATAAAAAGCAAAACCTGACTTTTTTAAAGCTGCAAAGTAAAACTTGGCATAGGTCAAAAACCATCAAGATTTCCCCCACTACCAGTTTAAGCATTTACTACAAAGCTTTAACATCAATACACAGCTTAGTGTACATTTTCACATAAAGTTCACACCTGTAAAAGTCCTGCAAGTCTTAATGCTTCCCCCAGTGATTTAAGTACTGCATCTCCTTTGTCACCTACAATGCTGCCTGTGCAGCACTGTAATTCTGTGACACAACACACACTTCTCCACACACAACAGCATCCTTTTTTGCTAACAGTAGCAAGTCACAGTTCCTAACTTTGCTATCCAAATATTACAGTGACCTGAAGATATTCATTTCTCACTCCAAAAATCCTCAAAAGCGTTTTAGAATCATCTCTTTTTTTCCAGTACCACATAAAATTGCTACCTCACAAAATTGATGTTAAACCTCACTCCATGAAGCCCTAGGTGCAAGTCCTAGATTTCCCCATATTGTAAGGAAGGAAGCAAAGAACTATCACTTAGCTGCATCATTCCTGCAGGAAACAAATAGTAACTGTTTACATATGGAAAAGGACATGCAAGAAGCAGCAGGACTGTCATCTCATCAAAAAGCAGTCCTTTCCAAGTTCTAGAACTGCCAACTGGCACACAAAAGAGATGTTACACTGGTAGGCCTGTGAAATCTGGATCTCCCTGTACCAAATGTTCAGAAACCCATGCTGATGACTAGTCAGGATATCAAAAGTTGTAACAAATACATTCCAAAATGATCAGAAAATCCTTCACTGACTTTTTTAAATTGTGGGAAGAAATATTTATCTGGACTTCTTTTAGTTTTATTTCTCTAAATGTCTGTAAATAATACCAATTACTACAAAATCTTCACACACTTGGCTCTTCAACAACAATTGTAACACTGGCAGAGGCTGTACAAGAGTCAGACACTCTGTCAAAATAAGCACCATTCTGACCACTCAGTCACTATTATTTAGTTCAGTGACTGCTAGAATTTAATATGAAGTGTGATGTGGCCATTTGGCTTAACCTTCCAGTTGATTTTAACCACCTACAGTAAAGAAATCTGAAAGCATAACTCTTAATCATAAATATCTAAGCGGATAATAATATGCACAGTTTTAAAAACACAATTAAATTTCAAGACCACAGAGACTTAGTTTGCCATAAAATAACTTACTAAAAAATTAGCTCAAAGTAGCGCTTTAATGCTAAGTTATGGTCCAAATAAAGAGGTAGGATCTCTAATAATTCTGCATGAAGTGCAACACAATGCAGATCATTTCTCACAAGTTAATATATGGTTAATTTTAGTTTTGATGTAACATTCTATAAATCAGTGTGGACTTTATTATTAACACCAAGTTAATATAAGCAAAAATCTGATTTAAGAGATATTAAACAGAATAAAAAATTACATTATGATGAAAAGTAATGCTCCTGAGCTCCTTTACAATTCAACACAATACAAAAGTAGGGCAAGTATTAAAACATAATGTTTTTATAGCAGTCAAAAGCTTCATACTTATACTCAATTTTAACCTACCAAAATTTGGAAAATAGGTGAAATTCCAATTTCACAATGGAAACACTTATTACATGTGTCATTTTGCAAACCTAGACACCTGTATCTACTACATTTATATGATTTTGCTTATCAGTTTGGCGCTAAATAGACCTCTTTGCTACAATTAGTTTCATGCTAAAATTCTCTAGCCTATTAAAAATCAAACTAAATCAACCAGAACAAACCACATAAAGAAACATTGTTGTTTATTCTTACTGTTTTGCTTATTCTTATTATGAAGGGAAAAGAGGGGGGAAAGGACAATCAAGTATTACCGAACATCTTGCCTTATAAAAAATACAGGAGTATATTCCGCCCTATTTACAACGTGGAGGTACACCTCACTTTTCTCCAAATAATATGGCCAGATCAAGAGAGTTCAGAATTGAGAAGCAAGTTCTACACTTTCTCGTCTCAGGAACATTGTCCCAGCTAGCAAACACCAATGTGCCAAGTGAAGAATGCCCCTTTTTGCAGCATTATCTTCTTTCAAAGATCTCATATATAACATGGTAGCACTACCATATCATAACACTGTTGTGAAATTTAAAACACACATGCTTCCTCTCATTTTCCAGAATCAGATCAACTTTTTCCATTGACTAAACTACTGTATTTATAAGGTGCAAAATTAGCTAATGCAGTCCTATTTAGAGAACAATTTTAAAAAAACTAATTTGCATGTCAAAGCTTCAATGGCATCGCTCAATCAGGGGAACACTAACATTGATCTATAATCCTTTTGCAGTCTCTTCCCTTCATCCAGATCATACCAAACAAATTTCAAATAAAAAGCAAAGATTTGGGCATTGAGGAAAGGATTAACTCTCTCTCTCACTGTACTTTTAGCTCCTATGTTTCATTGTTTCAGATTAAAAAACAGGGTTAGAACAGATTTAAGCGCAGTTTTGTGAGGGGCTCCGGACATATCTCTTCATTGATAAATTTCACAAGGGAGGGTGGATCTAACAGTCACTGCTTGACTCATACAGGGATGGAACAAAGTCATTTCCTGAAAACACAGGTATCATATACCCAAGTCTATTTCATTCACTCTGGAAAATGGGGGAGAAGGAAGTGCACAGAGCACACTGTTGAAATAAAATCTCCTTCCTTAATCTGGAAAAAAGACTTATCCTTTCACAAGATGGAAACAACACCAGTTAAGCAGACACTTTTTATCACAAGACTGGAAAAGAGGGCAGAAGATCTGATTTCTCCACTGTTACACTGTTCTTTAGGAAGCAGCACACACACACAAAATATCCAACACATAAAAAGGTAAATTTCACACACTGTCTTATGAAATTTGCTTATGCATCATTCATCTTAGTACCATCTTCTCTCCCTGAAAAGCACTCATTTCTTTCAGCAATTACTGTATCTTCAATGTCTGAGGGGTTTTTTTCATTATTACTGCAGCCCTCTAAAAGGAACTGGTGCTGAAGCTGAGGTACCATTCACATCAAGCAAAACAAAATAATTACTTTCCATCATTACAGACTGAATTCCTGTAACAGTTACCTTTTTTGGAATGACATCACATTGCAATGCACTGAAAACAAGTGAGTCAGCAATTCACTGGCCTTCTCTGCAGGGATGATATCTGACCTCTTACTCATTGTTTTACTATAGGTTAGTATTTACTTCTTCCAGGTGTATTCTTTGCAACTGATGGCTTTTTCTCTTCCCAACTTATTATGATCAGCACATACACTAATACTCTCTTTCAAACAGCTTTCAGCCTTACTCAGCTTCATTTGACAAAATTGCAACCACTCCCACTGTTGACTTTATTAATAGGTTTGAGGCACGCTCTGAATTCAACCTATAGGAGCAAATACATTTAGCGTGCTAGGGGCAACCTGGGGGATATGATTGGTAGACAAAGACAGGATATTTTTATAAAAAATAGACAGATGTATGTATTCTCTAATGTAAAGAAAATGTAGATGACATTCAGACAGCCAGTTCTTCATTTCTAATGTTTACTAGAAGAAAAACAAGCATTCCTCCTCAGGATGTACAATTTAAGCCTTCATTCAGAGCACATCCCAAGAATTTATTCAAATTCTTAACATGAAAGACAAAGCAAAAAAGAGTAAGAGATGAAAGATTAAAGTGTGTTCTGTGAAAATCTGCCATACTATTTAAGCTTAAAACTCCATACTATTTTTGTTGTTGAAAGACAGCTAAGTCAGTACGAGTTAAATTTCTTAAACACTGGTACAAACAGGCTTTAAAAGAAACAAGATTTCTTCTTTGGTTTTCATGCGTTCAATACAGATGAACCATTTTTCTTCTGCAATGCCAGCAATATAAACTTGACACAAAGTTAAGACTACAGCAGGATAGCAACAAACTGCTGAGTGTGGGGAGCTACGCCTTTATTCACACATTCATCAGACTTATTCAAGTAGTTTTTTCCAGCTATATTTAAATGCTTCAGGGCCCACTTTCCAATCTGAAAGGTATTGCTGCATGCAGCTTCAAAGACATTTTCCTCCACTACTGCAACACCACTGCAAATTCCAGGAGCTGTTGCCTATCTACTTCACTTTCACACACCAATTTTAACATCAGCATTAAAAAAATTTGTATACACCTGACCTGAAGCTGAACTAGAACTAAAGCGCACCTCTTGCTCAGCAAGGGGATCAAAACAAAGCCATCATAAAGTTGGAAACAAAGAGAATCGTTAACTTGTCAGACTCAATTGCTTATTGTGAAGCAAAATAAGCACTTCCAAGTTACAGCAAAACAGCAAATGTTTCTCTCTTACCTCTCGGACTTCATGGAGTTGACCAGATCGCTGGCTCTTCGCTCTTCGAGCAGCTGCAGGTGATTTGTGATGTGTGATGGTGACAACAGTTGGCCCACTTGTATTCATGTATTTCTGGCCACTGGGAGATGCAGAATTAGCTGTCCCAGGCGGCAGCAGAGATGAGCTTCTACTTCGTGAGGATGAGATGCTCTAGAATAAGCAATAGGATTGTTATATCAGCAACCTTTACACAAGCAAAAATTTACAATTCAGGCAATACATTTGTATTGTTCTACTTTTCTCACAAACCTAAATATGGAGCTGTAACTGATTTATTCCTTCCAAGCCATATGCATGGCTCAGGAGATGTTCTTGGAAACATTAGAGCTACTGCCTTTGTTTCTTGGCGTGCCTGTAATTGGTGTTTGTAAATATCTTCACAAATTCTTACATAAAAATTAATATGCTGCTTAGTTCTTATAATCCTACTTTTTAGGAAAGCTTAGGAAAGATTTTGCAAACAGAATAACAACAATGCCAATACAAGTATTTTTCATTAAACCATTGACCTACAATTCACCAAACTGGTGCAAACAGCAAGGAAGAAAAAAATCTTAAAGTTTTCATTTGATGAACTTCTGAAACAGTGTAGTATTGCTCTCAACATCAGAGGAGGCTGAATTTTGGCAAGACCAATCCACACACCAATTAAATATTAACATTTGAAACAAAACTTGTCTTCAAGAAATCAACACGTTTTGGAGTACGCTTGGGATAAACCCAATATACAAAAAAAAGGCCAAAATAAATCTCCAATGGTATCTGCAGTATGAATACTTTTAACATACAATCTATAAAATCAGTCAGGACATTTGGTTTTTATCTAACCATCTGTCAGTGTTGCTATCTCAGTTTGCTCTCCACAGACCTCAAACACAAGTTATCCTGGAGGTCTATAGGACACCAGTTCTCAATCAAGCTCAGATGGCGCCAGATCACCATGGGACATCATATATAAAAGTGCAATATAAAAACGTCTTTCCCTTCTATTTGAACTGTTGATTGCATCTGTAAGGTTAAAACTGAAACAGAGTAACTTTTACCTCATGAAACACAAACCAATTCAGAGAGTAACATTAAGTAGCACTTTAAGACTGTGAAGAAAATACACAGCCCCATGAGTAAAACACCTTTTCACCTTTCCTTCATAACCTGCACAAATAACAATGGCAACCTACAACATTGCTAAGACAGTCACCATCAACACGAGGTACTTCTCTTGAGCATGCTACACAAAAGTATTCCTTGGGTATAATCTCTCTTCTTATACCTTCCATGTCACTTTTTGCAATTCTTTGGTAATCTTCAAACCAAGGTGAACAGGTTCCAACTAGCACTGCAATTGAAGTCAGGCCTCATGTTACCACCACACTGACTGTAAAGGACAAGGCAGATTATTTGGCACTGCCAAGGAGGAGGAGTGAAACAAGTAACACAATCCCTTTGCCACCGCCACACAAAACTAGACTTTAGACTTTTTGAAGGTTTAAAAAATGGGTTATCACATTGCCAGTGTGCAAAGAGCTACTAATCTCATAGAAATAATTATTACTCCATTGGTCTAGATTTAACATTTACAAATGCTTCCACAAATGATGGTCTGACTGTTTTTGAAATTAATATATTCTTTGCTACAGTTTGCTGTTCAGGCTAACAGCAGCCATGTAAAACTGAGTTTTCCCATTAGGTTCACTTAAAAAAAAAAAAAAAAAAAATATTCTGTGAGAGGTAAAGTTTTACTATGTTTTGATTTTCTTGAGGGAGAGCTATAGATCTGCATGTAACAAAAGCTAACACAAAACGTATATGGAAAAATCCATGCACTGGTTCAGACTGTGGGACCACAGTGCATTTAAGATGGCTTTTCCTAAGTTTTGCCAAGGTATGTAGCAGCTCACAGCAACTTCTGGTGAACAGTCATTTAGGGCATGACATTTGGGGAGAGAAAAGCAGAAAAAACCAGCCCATCTCTAGTTTCAGTAGTGGTTGGGGCTCAAAAAGACTGTCCTGTTACAGGGACACTAGGTAAACCCAAGTCAATACACACACAAGCACACAGCCTGGCAAGTGCTATCCATGGATCCACTGCCTGGTGTGCCTGACACTCAGCTCTGTTGTAGGGCAAGGCGTGGAGCTTTGTGATCTCCGGGGAGAGACCACCTCTGCCAGTGAGTCTCCGAGAGCCCTCTGCTTCCCCTTGCAGCACAGAAGAGTCACCAGTCCTATAGAGCTCATCCAGTCAGGGAGACTGGCAATCTGGAATTCGCACATACATGGTCTGTGCAAAGTATCAGCCCTAAATATATTGGTCTATGATCGGCTCCTACAGGTCTGTAAGCAAGGTCTCCTCACCTGTTTTCTGCCCCTTTACATCCTTCATCCATTTACAGTGACCCAACATTTCCAAACAACATGCCAGAAAATTCCACCAGCCCGCAACACAAATACTCTAGCACCTAAATTTGATATTATTCTTTAGAGGGCATCTGTAACACACAAACTTTAAATGAGCTCAGCACCAGGACCTCCGGCTACCCATGAAGCTATCTCTAGGCAAGGCCCCCTGGCAAACATAAAAATTTGCAACTTAAAACTTGCAAAATCAGTCACAGCCAGTATGCATGTGAATGGCAGTTTTTGGAACCACTCAAAACCTTTTCAAGTTGGACTCCCCTCCTCCACTGTCACAGAGAACAGAAGCAGAGTACTGTGCCTGCTGCATCCAAGAAAATGGGGGAAGCATCCAATTCCTTCTGACAGCTTCTTCCTGTCACTGCCAGAAGAGGACTCTCCAGGAATTGCACACTCAGCCCCTTAGGCACTTTTGAATTTTACAGCACATTGTCAACACCTATGTCCCAGCCAAATACTTGACTCCTCTTTTGCAGAATTTCTTGAGATTCAACACTGGGAATGACAAGCATTCTTTTTGCATTGACACACAGCTGTGCAAAAATCCGAATTTTCCATTTCTGTTAAAACGTGAAAACCTATGTGAAGTTTTCCACTGCTAAAAGCACTCTAATTAAAAATCATACTACAACAGCCATAAAAATCACTCTCACAGGAAATCAAAGCAATGACAGTAACTGATGGGCCTTTATGTCTAGTCCCCCCCTCTTCCTCCAGCACTGCTCCTATGACTGATCTGCCCCTCTAATTATTATCATATCTCATTTTCTTTGGTCTCGCTGCTTTCTGGCTCACAACTAAATAAATAAAAAGAGACCGAAAAGTCTGATGAAAGGAAAATGTAAGCTCTTCAACATTAGCAATGCACAGTGCCAATAATGAGCCAAGAAATCCACAAGCTGAAGCATCCCAAAAGGACTGCATATGTTCTTTCCTGAGGCTACACACCTTACCATTGCACCAACACTTCACCTGCTAATAAAATGAAATCAATAAAAGAATAATAAAGAAGCTAATAAAAGATTAATTTGCAACTTGCATTCATATGGGTTTTATGACCTAAAGCTAGCTAAAGTATGCTTAGCTAAAACAGATTTGGGTTAAGATTTTTATTTTAATAGCCTGTCCATCCCCAAGATAAAAAAGCAGTATAATGAATGCTTCCATTTGGATATCAAAAATCCTAACAATTAAAATAATGGAATTGCAGAACAGTAAGTTCGAACTATACTAATGTTTTCATGACTCATTCCCCCAGGAGATTGCCCTTCCTGTTCACAAAGAAGCTGAAGTGTTTTTCACCATTTACCAGAAGCAAACAATTTTGTTTATTTTGGAAAGTAAATGCAATTTTCCAGAGATCAATAAAATAATTTCTGAAGTGAATTGTCATATCTGCTTATGGTTGATAATCATCATTTTCACAGGCACTGTGCCACAGATGTTTTTCTCTGAATAATAATTACCAAAATGACACTCCTTTACTCCTCTGCACATACACAGCACAGAAAACCTACCCCTGCATGCAGCTTGAGTTATGGGAAGTCACACACTATCAGAAAGTAATTACAATTTTGAGACACCACCATTCAGTGTTTTAATTCCCATCTACTTCGTTTCCAATGCATCCTAAGTAAACAAACACCGATAAAAGATAAACCTAGACACAGTTCTGCTTCATTTACATTATAATCATCCACAAATATTAAAATGCAAATGACAGAATCTACATAATATCCAAACTTTAGCACTGTACAGGGACCAGCTTATGATGTTTTGCACATTTCTGTCAAGCACCACTCTATAGTACTAACTTTTCTGATAGAATATCATAGTGCTTCATCATCTTCAGTAAGGCAATATGAGTCTTTTTTTTAAGCAAGAGGCTATGATAATCACTCTATCATAAAATCTTTTCTTCATCAAGAATCACTGGAGCATGTTCAATCCTAAATTGATTTTCTTCCATTTCTGTGGAAAGATTTTAGAAGCAGCAAACAATTCTTATTTTCATGAAGCTTCCAAAGGGAGGAAAAAAGGTGTCAAATACACAACTAACAACAGCCAAGCACTGCTTCCCTATCAGCCTCACTACTGTAAGGATTTCAGTGCATATTTTAATTAGAAGTGCCGTTCTTTAGTTGACTTCTATAGGTCAGAGATGAGAAGAGGAAGCAGACAAGCATACCAACAAGAGGGAACACTTGAAGCTCAAAAGGCAAAGCAACTTAACATGCACAGAAGAACCAAAACAACACTGAAAAAGACTTGAAATTTTCACCAATTTGGCTTTATGAAAAGTTATCATGCAGATGTTAAAAATACCCAGCCAATGATCTGCTTAAAAACGTAAACGTATCTCTGTGGCCATTCATTACTAAATGTTTCACATTATAGCCAAACTGCTACTGCAGTTGACAATTGACAGGGGCAGGTTTGGACTTTTTCCCCCCACCATTACTCCAGGGACGTAAGCCAATAGAGAATCACAGACAGAGGCACACATTCCTCAGAGAGTTGGTCAGAGAGCTAAGCTCTTTTTAGTTGGATGCCATTTTTTCTACTTTTGATGCCCAGGTTAATACAGAACTGGAAACATGACAAAACCCACACAAAAGGTGGCAGCAGAAGGAAGGGAATTGGATTGCAATTTACAGCTGCAAGGAACCAGCAAATGAGTTCAGCTGAAAGATCAATCCACACCATTCAATTTTAAGCAGCTAGCTCACTGTGCAGCTCAAAACCCAAAAGCTAAAACAACAGAGAGTCTGTCTCCTTATTCTAACACAGACCTAAGCTGAAAGTTACCAACTGAGCACAGAAGTGACTTCACAAGATAAAGGTTTTGCTCCCTGTCACATTCCTGATACAGACACACTGAGACATACAAGGGTTATATGCAAATCCAGCAACCAATCCACACACTGGCATTAAGAGTTGGTTTAAAAACCTGTGTTTGTTTTCAGTAGTGCTTTTACAGCCAGCATCATTAAACAGTCAAGAAAAAAGGAGGATGAAACAGAAGAACTAAAAAGCTTATGACAATTTCTGGATACAAAATTATTCTTGGAAGTTACCAGAAAAATTACGCATAAGCCTACTCCTTCTTGAAAGCACTTTATATCACTGAATGCAAATTTGATTCATGGTTTAATTAAAGCTTGTACAAAATATTCACTTAGAATAGTTTAAAAGAGCCAGCAATCCTATCCAGTCATAGAAGATTTCATCCAATACAGTTGATTTGGCACTTATGGAGGTTGAACAATCTGTAATTAAGTGAAATGAGACTTGTATGGGAATACCAAGAACATTAAGACTATGTGACAGCATGGGAATTATTTGCCAGTGAACATTTTTACTGCTTTTTTTTTATCATTACCATGTAAAATTTAATTAAAACAAAGTCAGAAACTTAGCTTGTGTTACATCCACTTATTAACTGTACCGCTCACCTTTGGACCATTCATTAGCATGCAACTAAATTTAGCGTTTAGTATACAACCTTTTCTTTCTTTTTTCAATCACTTCTCTATTTAATTTCCTCCACCACTCCAATCCCCAGCTGAAGCTTTAAAAACAATCATGACAGCAAGTTATTAGGTAGCATTTTGAAGCAGGCAGTAGCTGAGAAAAAGAAAGGAAACTAATGCTGATCTAGATCCAGTGCAGCAAGAAGGAATGCTCTTCTCTGAGTATTTCACAGAAACAGTGACACAACTCCCAAATTATCATGTTTTTCTACACATTCCCTTCTAATAATATCTATTCAAGATTTTTAAGATGTGTTCTCTTTCCAGTATGAATAATCTGTCGCTAAGTTACTTTGCAGGTATTCTTGGGAACCCTCCCACTGCTTGCCTGGTTATCCCATTATTGGTTTTTTTTCACATTTAAACTACATCGCACTTGCATAACATAAAATATACAACTCACTGCATGTTTTTCATTCCCATTCTACCTCATTCAAGTGTATGACTCGTAAGAACAGCTAGAAATTTCTGCATCTCAGTATTCCTATGAAAAGGTGAATTTAAGTGGCAGAAGAAGCTGGGAGCAAACACTCAGACTCCAACTTTCCAGATGCTGTTCCCAGCAGAGACAGAGCTTGGATTCTGTTCAAACTCCAGAAGCTCAGAACACATGAGTATCTGCCTGTTCATAACAGCATGATGAGAGACAGATAACTGGCAGTTTCCACTTACTACAGAGTACAAAGTATACAGAGAGGGAGGAATAAAGAGATCCAACCTTGCTGACAGCAGAATAACAAATCACATCATGACAGTAGAGCTATTTTAACGAAACCCAAAAATACGGATTTTTGTGAAGTCCTCGATTATGCAAAAGTAAGTCAAACATATACCCATCTCTGTGTCATTACAGACCTTTCTATGTAAATCCAGACCCTAAGCTGAAACAGTAAGGTGCTAAAAATAGCAGAATTATATTCTATGTAAATTTAAAACATTTTAAAAGAGCATGTTTCCACTCCCATGCTAATAATAATTTAGTATCAAGTACCATCATCTACAAGAGAAAGAAAAAAAAACCATCACAATGAAATGAAGCAGTTCTCGCTTCTCTTATCTCCTACCAGGCAGTGAATATGAAGTAAGAAACTCTGAGAAAAAGAAGAAAAAAAAATAAAAAGAATAAAAGGCCTTTTTTTTTTTCTAGCTTCTGGAATTTCTGTGAAGAATTGCTACTGTGCAAATGATATCTGATCTCCAAAGTCTAATTATTGTAGCATTCAAGCTTTTGATCCCTTCCCTTTATAAAGAAAAGCAGAGAGAAATTTAAAATCTTACTTGTAGATGAAATTCAAGTTCACACTATATGCAATGCTAAAGCCAGGTAAAATATTCTTCTCAGTTAATACTCTAATACTGAGAAGACAGGAGGGGGAAAAGGAAAAAAGCATGTTAAAAACAAGAGATAAATCTTGTCACAAGAAAAGTTTCTAGGAACAGGAAGCACAAAATTGCTTCAAGTACAGTCCACTTCTTGAATAAGAGACAGAGCCATCAGTAGTGTCATCTGAAGCACATAAATTCTGAACATTTTATTTTCTGCACTGTTAAGTATAAAAATACTGAAGACATATTCTCTATTTGCTCTGTGGCTTACAAATGCAGAGAACTTAAAGTGCTTCAGTAACAAACATTTCAAGTGAAAAGTGACCTAGCCTGATTTGTAACACAAAACTAAGAAATATACTTTTCTTCAGCATTTCTGCTTTATACTCAACAGATTCAAGCTAATTAAAACATATCTATTCCAAAACACATCTATACTCAAACGTCCTATGCCAAATTTCTGTAACTCACCAGTCTTAAAGAAAAATGCAAGAACTCTCTTCCTACTACCTGAAATACTCTTCCATTTAGTTCCTCTGCTACATATGTCCATCACCCCTCAGTTAAGGAAATACTTTTATTTTCTTGCATAATGGGCATAGGAACAAGGAACAAACCACAGCATTGCTGGTCACTATGCAAGAATACAAGTAGTCCAGTGAGATGCTCTCCATTCTAAAGCTTTCCTGTTTCCAAAAGTTGTGCGTTAGATCTTCTGTGCCAGAAACTGTCTTTGTACTTACTAGCCTCCCACTCATTTAGTCAAGACTTTCTAATAAAATTTTGCTTTTCAAATACTTTTCAAACCTCTAAACACTTTTGGCATCCAAAGCATCCCAAAATATTCTCCACCTTTTGATGGTTTTTTTTCATTTTTTGTTTTTGTTTTCAACTCCTTTTCTTTGCGGTTCCCCATACCAATATTAACAGTTAAACAAATACTTCCTATTCAGCCACTGCAGAGCACTTATTTTACTGATTTGCCCTTTCCACTCTCATCATCAGAAAAAAAAAGACTACAATGAAGTCGAATTTCATCACACAGAGTTCATCCTGTACAGAAGAATAACAAATACGATGAAAGTACTTCATTATCCCCACTCCAATTTTTAATTTCAGAAATGGAAATTAACTGATTTAAAAGTATTCATTACAAGTATTTGACAGAGTTAGAGCAATCCAAGTACTAGACCTTCTTTTTTCTGATAATTTCTAAAATTTTGCTTGCTTTCTTTGGACCTCTACTAATTGCTGTTTACTTTCACTGTTGTAACACCGAGATTTTTCTCTTGACAAATTAATTCAGAACTAAGTATGCAGATACTACTCCTATTGAAGGAGCTCTACATGGAAAGATAGTCTGAACAGAAATTACTACTAAATGTAACAGATTTTACCTAAAGAGGAAATATGATCCCAACTTCAGTTCCACAAAGATCAGCTTCAACTAAATTACTACTATTCTAAATGAGATTTTGCTATTAAAATAGAATAATTTATCACAAGCAGGAAAAGAATAAAAATAAAACCAGTATTAAGAAATATAATGAAAATTAATAGAGTGCAGCAGCATAAGAAGCAATATGCCATTGCACAAATCTCCAATATCATATATACTGAACAGCAGTTTTACCATCACATCACAGCTAAATTATAGATGCTAAACATCTAAATGCATTTAAGAAGTAACCAGAAAACATACTGAGGAATAATTCCTTGCTGGCAATTGAGTATAAAAAGTTGGCATCATTATTTGGCACAGGAGCTGCAAATCAACAGCAACTGTAAGAGTACCCTGATCAAGTAAAGTTGCACCTTTCTGAGTAGTACTGGGCCACATCCATATAAAAACTATATTGAATTCCAATGTGTAAGAATTTTTAAAGTACTGAAATATTCCAGCTACTTAATTCTCCTTCAAAAAGGGTTTTATTTTTACCATAATCCATACAATTTATACTTGGGAGGTTGGAGACAGCCTCAACCTATCATTTTGCTATCTTTCAAGTCTATACAGTTGGTCTTTTTACCTGCACAAAATATTTAGCTGTTTGAGGACAAAAACTGTGGACAATTAGTTCCAAAGAGAAGTAAGTAACATAACTCTTCATAGAACGAGCTCTTTCCAATTTAGTAAATAAGATGAAGACTGACTGCTGCTAACATCTATCTGAAGCTTCCTATAATAAAAGTCACTAAGTTGCATAAAATTAAATAAAACTGTAGTTAACTTTTAAATACTAATCAGGACATCATACAGTATTTATTAATAAATGGTTGATTCAGCCACTCAATTAACTATGCACTTCACTAATTTGTCATAAACAGGAAAATGTTTATTTATTAGGATCGCCCTATCGACTTACCCTGCTCCAGTTAGTGACAAATGACAACTTGCTGCTTTTACTCAAAACCTTCTGAACATCAACCCACTATTTACAGCAGCTAATCATCCAGGCTATGCTGTTCTTCACCTACTCCACTTAAAACATAATAGTTACTTCTCACTCTTAATTATTTACCTTAGAATCATTTTCCTTGTGGTATTTGGCACAGGATCGAAGCTGAGTTATCCAGTACTGCTTCTCCTTTGCATCAGCAGCTAGAACAGAAACAAGAAAATGCAAGCAATCACACAAAAATCAATACTCTTTTGCACAAGAGGTGACAGAGCAGGGCAGAGGTAGAAAGATTAATTATTTATTAGGATGCAGTATAAATCCTAAATTTATGCTACATAAATACACTTAAGTTTTTCAATGCTACACATCTAAACCTGTACTTAAGAGGCCAATTGAAAGAAATAAGTTTATGAATCTTCTTCATAGTTATCTCTTCCACGTTAGCAAAGGCAGAACGACCTACCTCAAGAAGACATTTTTGTTCAAAAATTTTCATCCACTTTTGTTTTACTTGTCTGTCTTTGTGAAGGACCCACCACAGCATTTAAATCCATAAAAGCTCTGCACTCAGGCTGTCAATCAGCTACCAGACAAGCTACCAGTTCCCCAGATACTTAAGTGCTTCTCTTTTAATGGAGTTCAACTAAATTTCTCTCTAAACCCATGTCATTCACAGGCAATGGAGAGACACAGGAATTTCCCCCAAACATCTTTAAAAACAAGCTTTAAAAATCATTGAAGAGTTTGACTGCTCTCAGATGGCTCCTGTGTAATACAGTAAGTCTGTTTAGGATAGAGGCTTTTCTTTTTTTCTTGAAGTACTACTACAGGAATCCTCATTAAGAATGGCAACACAGAGTTGATAATTTCAGTAAATATTTTCTCTTAATTCCTCTGCTATTGAGTATCTTAATGGTTATTGACTCAGCATAAAAATTGTTTACTGATTTTAATCAAATTCACAGACATCATTAAATTAAAAGCAGCATATTGTAAGCATTTGCTAATTTCAAGTGATTGGAAAAGCATAATGACACAACAAGTGCTCATGATTTCTAGCTGTGCAACTTTCAAAGCATTTTAACAGAAATTCACCCTGGTTGTTTCTAAATTCAGTTCTGTGTATGAAAGAGCGACACACTGTACCACAGGGGACTCCTCCATGCTCAATCCTGCTGGACAATTGATAAACCGTGGTCATAAAATGAAGAACACTTCTGTTACACTGCATTATGTACCTTGTTTTTTTAAATAACAGTTTATTTTTTATAAATTAGTTTGATTTGGAAGCATCATGATCAATCAACCATACTGAAAACACCTTAAAATCAGAACACTGCCATTTTTTTTTCTTCCTTTTTTTTTGTAAATATTCCAAAGTAACTCCTATATACCCTGTATTGTTTGTCTTATACTTGGGAACAAGAGAAGGGAAAATTTTATGCCACAGGAGCATTCAATTACTCCAAGACTGATAAGAACATAATATCTCAGCAGCCTATCACTGGCATTTTTCCCTTCTCTGACCCATCATCAGATTCATTACTGCACATTATCTGCAGGATGGTGGAAGGGAAGAACAGTACTAGAAAACAAATGTTATGCTGTGGACAGCAATAAAAGCACCTTTTTCTTCCTTTGGCAGCAAATAAGATGCAGCATTCAATGAAAATCCCACAGTAACAGATTACAGAAGCCATCTTGAAGTACCTTCCATCCCTGAAAGTCTATACATTTTAAAGTCACATGTACTTAACTCCAGATTACTCCTCCACCATGTTTTAAAATATACTATGTAATAACAGAGCTGTATAGCCACTACTTTCTGACAGCACAGGAAAGTAAAAGAGAAATGAGACATGAGAGAAGAGATGCAGAAGTGGGAGTGGAAGACAAGAACAATTCACAAGCATTGTGAGCAGCACTGTACCTCTTAACTTGTACATCTCTCCATTTGCAGAGTAGACCACCAACATGTGTGGCACTTCATCACTGGGAGATATTATAGCTCCAGCTAAAGACAAGGCTCCTCGTGGCTTTGGGCTCTGGTTTTTAGTTTGTTCATTCATAAAATACTGCAGAATCCCCGTCTCAAAGTCAAGCACAAAGTACCTGTTGAAAGAAATTACAAGCATACACTATTTCCATAGAAGCTTTTCATGCAATTACCCAACAAAGGGCACGGGTTGATCTTAAATCAAGATCATAAATATACAAGGGAGGTTAAAGTAATTTTTGTAATTACAATTTTATAAGGTACTGTTATTGGACTTGGTTTTTCAGGGGTAAGTGATCTATTCCTTTATTCATAACACAAGCCACTCACAATAAACCAACACCCAGGACTGAAAGATCACACAAACAAAAAATAAACTAACTGGGGTATCCAAGTGCACTAGATGAAAGTGAAGGTATTTCAAAGTTGGTGTGTCAACATCAGGAGTTGAAACTATTTCTTTTTTTCCACAAATAAACCCATCTTTCACAACAGCACAGATCCTAAACTTAATTTCCCTCTGGAAATCTTCTATGTTATCACACAGAACAATTATTTAACACTAACCCTTGACCAGCAGAGAATATACAGCAACTTCCTGGCTCAAATGAAGGTCAGTCTGCTGCAACCTTCAATAGACTAGAGCAAAGATCACATAAATGCAGGTTACCCCCCCCCTCCCCCCCACTTAGCTGCTTCTAAAAAAACACCCCTAACAATCTGGCTAATCCTACTAACATGGGCATTTGTAATACACAGTATTTGTTACTGTTCCTCTAAGATAAGATTACCACAAGTCACGTGTGTAAATTTGCGTAAAACATTCCAGAAACTGTGGTTATTCTGACTTCTGTAGCTTTGCATATCCCAAATTTGCTCAAGTTACCACATTTTATCTTGACTCTTTCACAATATCCCCATATGCAGAACATCTCTAACTAACCTTCCCATCACAGAACATTTCCAGGATTATCTTCACAGCCTGCAGTTATTGGTGGTGGTCTACTCCTCTCTTTATTCACACTAAATAAGCCTGGACATGATGCAAGCAGCTATTGCCTAAGATTTACAGAGTTTCAAACACATTGCTTGGGACCCCGTCCTTTGCTGCAGTTATGCTTAACCCTCTACTGCCACTGCCTTCACATCCGAGCAAAAATCAAACTCCCTTCCAATTGTTACAGATTAACAATCCTGACCCAAAGAATTTTAAACTAGTGCACCACCACACCCTTCACTTGTGCCCTAACTCAATCTCTTGCAAGCACTTCTCCATCCTTTTCCTCAAGAAACAAATGGAAATCCCTTTTGTAATCATGTAGCAGCACATCACTTCATCTTTCCTCTGCAGGTTATCTTCGACACAAAGAAGGACTAGAGGAATGGAAGCTGAATGACAACCACAATTGCAATAGTAGTGTTAGAAATAAGGATGCCCTAAAAGGAAACTGCCAAAATTTCCTATTACCTTACTGACTTGTATTGTACCAGTTCATAACCTTCCTGTTGTGTTTGACTTCTAAATGACTTTACAATACTACTCTTCCACTTATAGAGCATTTTTTCTCTTCAGGTTGCTTAGTAGGAGAAAACTATGCACTTAACCAGGGAAAAACAGCAGGGGAAAACAGCAGAATTGGAAAACTTTTTTTTTTTTTAAGTAAGACTTGCATATGTCATAGTAAATTTTAATTTTGCTCATTCTCATTTTTCCAGATGTTTTGGGAACATCTGTTACATACTCAAGAGAAAAAGCAGAGCACTAGACAGAAGTGACGCCACACCCCTGAGAAAATTGCACAGTAGTTTGACCCTAGAGCTAATGCTTCTCCCCATCATCTCTGAGCTCAGCAAAGAAGTCTAGACTTTATATGCAGTGATGTTCATTCTGAGCCTGTGCCATCCTCATTATAATTTCATTGTCCTTTTATTGTTCAGGTACAAATAATTTATTTCAGCCTTTGTTATTTGGCCATTTTTTAATCGATTACTACCTTGGAAATCACCATTGTGGTTACTAAAGTACAGCTCTACAATTAACAAAAGAAGGAACAACAGCTAGAAGAGAAAAAAAAAAAAAAGGAAAGGAAAAGAGGCAAGAAAAAGTCTCTCCTTCTCCTATTAAGACCAAAGGTTTTGGAGAAAAAAGTTCCTCTGAGTCTATTAGAACAGAATCTATTAAGTTACATAAACACCACGAGGACTTCAGCTCAGAAACTTCTGCATGCTAGACCAGCAAAGCACTCCCAGAATGACTGTAAGCTCCACTAAAATGGGCTTTGCATTGGCTTAAAGCTACCCCAGGGAAGGAAACCAGCCATTCGAGCACAGAATATACCTTTACCAGCATAATGACATCAGACAGCAGCAACTTCTGCAAATTCCCAAATGCAGAGACGGCATCCTTCCACATCCTTGTTATCACTGCTACAGCAGTAGTGTTAACTGGATTTCTAGCCAACCACAACCTATTTTACATACAGTCTCAGAAAAACAGAACAACATGACTGGCCTTGCACCTTAGGTTTTTTTGTAATGTTGTCATAGAAGCCTGTAAAAGCAAGCAATTTAGAAATCAAGCAATAATTTTAAGAAAGAAAAAGGTAACCAGTTTTCACAAGCCCTCACATCACCCTCAAGTATCCTGCCTTCTTTCTTGTCCCAAAAGAATCAGGAACTTTTCACAAGCATTTTGGCCATGACACTGTTCACATCACACAGAATCAAGCATTTCCTTTCCAAAGATTATGGTTTGATGTGCAACTCCCCTCTTCACCTTTCACACAGTGGTATCACAGAAAAAAGACAAGAATAAACTGCACAGACAACTACAGCCTCACAAAAGAAGCAGGGAGATAACACACTTTGAAAACTGCTAAAAGGATAGAATGAGCCAGGAGAAGGACTAAGGAATTAAATGTCAAATCAAACAGTGCAAGGCTTCATACAAAGGAGGTGGAGGACGGAGGAACACAAAGAGATAGGAAAAACAGGAGCAGCTTTCAAAAACATTTTCTCGCATCACAGACCAAATGATGACCCAATTCAGACCATCACAAAAACACAGAAGAAATGAAGACCAGAGTCTTTCATTAACTGAGGATGGAAAAGCATTACACATATAAAGCAGAAGACAAGGGTATGGGTCCCATTTTAGCAGCACTGTGCAGCTGAATCAAAAGGACAGAGATCTCTTTTAACTTCTAAAAGTCATTTGTTCTGCCTACCAGGGAAATAGCAGCACTAACCTCTCTAAAACTGATTCACCTTGTCACCTCACCCTTATTTCTCTACTGGCCTTGCCCACATGACATCACCTTTCTGTAATTAAATCTCAGATATTAGTGATGAAAACAAATGTACTCTTTAGAGAATAGTCAGGCAGAAGGTGGCAGAGCCCAGTTATGTCATACTTCTCACACAAAAAAAATCAGTGCTATAGAGAAATTGTGAAACTGTTATTGAAAGATACTTCCAAAAGACAGCTGATTTTATCTGTTATTCCAAAACCAGAATAAGATTTTTTTTAATTAACAGTCTTTAAAGGAGTCCATCTAGACGTAAGGTAGAAAATCACTACTTAAGCATATTTTAAGCAGTTTTAACTGCTAAAGCACAGTTTAAAATACACGTGCAAAATTACAGGCAAAAAAATGCAGGCTACTTCATAAATGAAGAGACAATGAATTTCTCACTTCAGATTCAAATCCATTCAGAAACTAAAAGCTTCCTGGATCCTCTGGCCCAGCTTCCCTTAAGCTCCTGAGATCCACCAGGATACTCTCCTTATGCCATTCCAACTGAATGTAGAGGCATTACCAACTGACATGAATTACAAGAGGAAACATTCACCACACTCTGCAGAGCTGAAGTCTGACGCTACCAGAATTGTTTTAAGTCACCCAGGAGTTTGTCAATATGGCCTGATGACAGTTGCTTTCTCTTTTATTTTCCATATTTCAAAATTAATGCCCTCTCTGCACAAATCCTACATCTTATAAATTCTACAACTGTCTTAATGAAACACTTGTTTCACCGTGCCCTTCATCATTCATCACTCATTCATTTATAGCCATTTTAAAAATTTCTAAATGTCAAGCAGAACAAGTAAGATATGCTAGGAAGTGGAACATGTTGCCTTCTGAATTCTTAGAAGGGAAGGGTGAAATGCTATACTAATAAAGTACTTAAACTGGGTTTGCTTCCACTAATAAGAGCATTTATTAGAGTAATAAATATAACATGTTCATATAATTATATACTATTACAATAATTTTTTATTATTAGCTCCCTATTCAAGAAGACTTTAAGAAAAAGCAGTGACTATGCTTTAAAGACTGATAAAATGCTGGTAGTATAGCAGCACTTTTGGTAGAGCACATGAAAGTGCTCTACCACTAGAGCTTGTCAACAAAGAACAGCAGCTTAACAGGTCTTCCATGAGAAAAAATGACATTTCATCAGTATAAAAGATTTGAGACAATAAAGAATTTTTTTTTTAATTTTAAAAGCCACAAATAATTATCAGAAGCACCTGATACAAACATTTCCCACATAATTTACTCACCTCACTGGATTAAAGAATTTTAATTTTCCCATTTCAAGGCAAACTAATCACTTCCATACTCTCCACAGGAAATGAATACTTTAGTAAGTAAATAATAAAAAATAAATCACATTTCTATGTATTTCATCATTCAATTACACATCATAACATGGTGCACTGTTCCTTGAAGCTGTCACTTGGATACAAACCTGCAATGAACCCAAAATTATGCTCCCAACAGAAAAAACACCTCAGAACAAGTTTCTCCTTTTCTTCCCTTTTTCTGAACACATCTCACAAACCAACTATCTGAACCCATGTTTTCACTACTCTGTAATCCCAATAAATTTTCAGTGTAGGATTGCTAAATCTTTCCATTATGTAATGCATTCCTAGCAATTTGAATATTCCTTACACCCTTCTTTCCCACTTAAGTCAGTTTTCTGGACCAAATTTTGTACAAATTCCAGTTTGAATCCATAATGTGACAGAGGTTTTTTATAGACATTTACAGCTGGACAACTACAGTCCCAATCAAATCTTCAATTTCTGACACCATCTTCTGGAACA